CCTAACCTTCTGACTGTCATATTTAGACCTAACCTTCTGACTGTCATATTTAGACCTAACCTTCTGACTGTCATATTTAGACCTAACCTTCTGACTGTCATATTTAGACCTAACCTTCTGACTGTCATATTTAGACCTAACCTTCTGACTGTCATATTTAGACCTAACCTTCTGACTGTCATATTTAGACCTAACCTTCTGACTGTCATATTTAGACCTAACCTTCTGACTGTCATATTTAGACCTAACCTTCTGACTGTCATATTTAGACCTAACCTTCTGACTGTCATATTTAGACCTAACCTTCTGACTGTCATATTTAGACCTAACCTTCTGACTGTCATATTTAGACCTAACCTTCTGACTGTCATATTTAGACCTAACCTTCTGACTGTCATATTTAGACCTAACCTTCTGACTGTCATATTTAGACCTAACCTTCTGACTGTCATATTTAGACCTAACCTTCTGACTGTCATATTTAGACCTAACCTTCTGACTGTCATATTTAGACGTTGCCTGAGCTTCAGTTCCCTAAAATTTTTGTGAATGAAAATAAAACTGACTTGATGCTGCCATTATTGAACCAGGAACTTGAACCCAAGAGTTCAGGGGTCAACCTTGTTTCTTGCTTCACCTATTGACCAGGAAGTTCAAATAGATCTAGTTAGCCTTAGAAATGTTTTTCATTTTTTTAAAGTCAACTGTAGCTGTATTTAAACGTGATGTCATTGATTTTTTGAGTAAGTCAGGAAAAAGGAGTTGATATATGTCCCATTTTTTCATAATGTGTTACGCAACTGTAGCTCTGCTATTCTGTGGAGTTATCATTTCTGTTATGTAACTTGGTAGTGTGTGTATCTTTAATTCACTCATCACTCACAGTGTAGATCTAGGAGTTTGTATTGAGGATGTGAATTTCATGGGTGAGCTTTTTCTCAGCACTGAGTTCCAGGAAACACTTTTTGTGAATACTTATTATACCTTGGTGAAACTATACCTTGCTGAAATTATACCCAACCTACAGCTAGCCAGTCCACCCAACCTACAATTAGCCAGTCCACCCAACCTACAGCTAGCCAGTCCACCCAACCTACAACTAGCCAGTCCACCCAACCTACAATTAGCCAGTCCACCCAACCTACAATTAGCCAGTCCACCCAACCTACAGCTAGCCAGTCCACCCAACCTACAGCTAGCCAGTCCACCCAACCTACAGCTAGCCAGTCCACCCAACCAGTCCACCCAACCTACAGCTAGCCAGTCCAACCTACCAGTCCACCCAACCTACAGCTAGCCAGTCCACCCAACCTACAGCTAGCCAGTCCACCCAACCTACAGCTAGCCAGTCCACCCAACCTACAACTAGCCAGTCCACCCAACCTACAGCTAGCCAGTCCACCCAACCTACAGCTAATCAGTCCACCCAACCAGTCCAACCTACCAGTCCACCCAACCTACAGCTAGCCAGTCCACCCAACCTACAGCTAGCCAGTCCACCCAACCTACAGCTAGCCAGTCCACCCAACCTACAGCTAGCCAGTCCACCCAACCTACAGCTAGCCAGTCCAACCTACCAGTCCACCCAACCTACAGCTAGCCAGTCCACCCAACCTACAGCTAGCCAGTCCACCCAACCTACAGCTAGCCAGTCCACCCAACCTACAGCTAGCCAGTCCACCCAACCTACAGCTAGCCAGTCCATCCAACCTACAGCTAGCCTGTCCAACCTACCAGTCCACCCAACCTGCAGCTAGCCAGTCCACCCAACCTACAGCTAGCCAGTCCACCCAACCTACAGCTAGCCAGTCCACCCAACCTACAGCTAGCCAGTCCACCCAACCAGTCCACCCAACCTACAGCTAGCCAGTCCACCACACCTACAGCTAGCCAGTCCACCCAACCTACAGCTAGCCAGTCCACCCTACCAGTCCACCCAACCTACAGCTAGCCAGTCCACCCAACCAGTCCACCCAACCTACAGCTAGCCAGTCCACCCTACCAGTCCACCCAACCTACAGCTAGCCAGTCCACCCAACCTACAGCTAGCCAGTCCACCCAACCAGTCCACCCAACCTACAGCTAGCCAGTCCACCCAACTTACAGCTAGCCAGTCCACCCAACCTACAACTAGCCAGTCCACCCAACCTACAGCTAGCCAGTCCACCCAACCTTCAGCTAGCCAGTCCACCCAACCTACAGCTAGCCAGTCCACCCAACCTACAGCTAGCCAGTCCACCCAACCTACAGCTAGCCAGTCCACCCAACCTACAGCTAGCCAGTCCACCCAACCTACAGCTAGCCAGTCCACCCAACCAGTCCACCCAACCTACAGCTAGTCAGTCCACCCAACCTACAGCTAGCCAGTCCACCCAACCTACAACTAGCCAGTCCACCCAACCTACAGCTAGCCAGTCCACCCAACCTACAGCTAGCCAGTCCACCCAACCTACAGCTAGCCAGTCCACCCAACCAGTCCACCCAACCTACAGCTAGCCAGTCCACCCAACCTACAGCTAGCCAGTCCACCCAACCTACAACTAGCCAGTCCACCCAACCTACAGCTAGCCAGTCCACCCAACCTACAGCTAGCCAGTCCACCCAACCTACAACTAGCCAGTCCACCCAACCTACAGCTAGCCAGTCCACCCAACCTACAGCTAGCCAGTCCACCCTACCAGTCCACCCAACCTACAGCTAGCCAGTCCACCCAACCTACAGCTAGCCAGTCCACCCAACCTACAACTAGCCAGTCCACCCAACCTACAGCTAGCCAGTCCACCCAACCTACAGCTAGCCAGTCCACCCTACCAGTCCACCCAACCTACAGCTAGCCAGTCCACCCAACCTACAACTAGCCAGTCCACCCAACCTGCAGCTAGCCAGTCCACCCAACCTACAGCTAGCCAGTCCACCCAACCTACAGCTAGCCAGTCCACCCAACCTACAGCTAGCCAGTCCACCCTACCAGTCCACCCAACCTACAGCTAGCCAGTCCACCCAACCTACAGCTAGCCAGTCCACCCAACCTACAACTAGCCAGTCCACCCAACCTACAGCTAGCCAGTCCACCCAACCTACAGCTAGCCAGTCCACCCAACCAGTCCACCCAACCTACAGCTAGCCAGTCCACCCAACCAGTCCACCCAACCTACAGCTAGCCAGTCCACCCAACCTACAGCTAGCCAGTCCACCCAACCTACAGCTAGCCAGTCCACCCAACCTACAGCTAGCCAGTCCACCCAACCTACAGCTAGCCAGTCCACCCTACCAGTCCACCCAACCTACAGCTAGCCAGTCCACCCAACCTACAGCTAGCCAGTCCACCCAACCTACAACTAGCCAGTCCACCCAACCTACAGCTAGCCAGTCCACCCAACCTACAACTAGTCAGTCCACCCAACCTACAGCTAGCCAGTCCACCCAACCTACAGCTAGCCAGTCCACCCAACCAGTCCACCCAACCTACAGCTAGCCAGTCCACCCAACCTACAGCTAGCCAGTCCACCCAACCAGTCCACCCAACCTACAGCTAGCCAGTACTACCAAAATTCTCCAACTTGGATTTATTTCATAATTACCAGTTATTACTCAAGTGTATAATGTAGCCTACACGCAGGCTCATAATTATACATGAATGTTGGCCGCTCTGTGTTGCCGTTAGCTCTACTTCTCGTGAATGCAGCTGTTTTTATTTGTCTGCCTGCTGATTTATTAGCGTCTGCCAAATTCAACAAATATTTTTATACTGATATAGGACACATGTTTTACTGTAGGTATATCACAGTGCAAGACAGAACACCACAAGACACAACACCACAAGACACAACACCACAAGACACCACAAGACACAACACCACAAGACAACACTACAAGACACAACACCACAAGACACAACACCACAAGACACCACACCACACGACACAACACCACAAGACACAACACCACAAGACACAACACCACACGACACAACACCACACGACACAACACCACACGACACAACACCACAAGACACAACACCACAAGACACAACACCACAAGACACAACACCACACGACACAAGACACAACACCACACGACACAACACCACACGACACAACACCACACGACAACGAACACACCAACACACTACCACAAGACACAACACCACAAGACAACGAACACACCAACACACTACCACAAGACACCACACCACACGACAACGAACACACCAACACACTACCACAAGACACCACACGACAACGAACACACCAACACACTACCACAAGACACCACACGACAACGAACACACCAACACACTACCACAAGACACCACACGACACGACAACGAACACACCAACACACTACCACAAGACACCACACCACACGACAACGAACACACCAACACACTACCACAAGACACAACACCACAAGACAACGAACACACCAACACACTACCACAAGACACCACACCACACGACAACGAACACACCAACACACTACCACAAGACACCACACGACACGACAACGAACACACCAACACACTACCACAAGACACCACACCACACGACAACGAACACACCAACACACTACCACAAGACACGACACGACAACGAACACACCAACACACTACCACAAGACACCACACGACACGACAACGAACACACCAACACACTACCACAAGACACCACACGACAACGAACACACTACCACAAGACACCACACGACAACGAACACACCAACACACTACCACTATATAATTATCAACCATCAGGCTGACATTTCTGGTGACACAGACAAACGTCAGGGTGTCATTTTTATTAGACCAACTACAGGCAAACGTCAGGGTGTCATTTTTATTAGACCAACTACAGGCAAAACGTAAAGGGGGGCGGGGGGGGGGGGGCTGTGTACTATAGACTAAACAGGGAAGGGGGATGTCGGGAAATCCGGCTCAATTAATGGCTGTTATAAATCAGAGGTTTTACCGACTTTCAGACACTTGCTCTCGTATGGCCCCTAGTCTTGTGTTGTTGCCTGTGTTGTCACCTGGTTCTGTTATGTTGAGGTTTTTTTTTACCATAGCTTTGTGTTGTCACCTAGTCCAGTGTTGTTCCATAGTCCAGTGTTGTTCCCTTGTCCAGTGTTGTTCCCTTGTCCAGTGTTGTTCCCTAGTCCAGTGTTGTGTTGTCCCATAGTCCAGTGTTGTTCCCTTGTCCAGTGTTGTTCCCTAGTCCAGTGTTGTGTTGTTCCCTTGTCCAGTGTTTTTTTTTTAAATTTCAGCTCCTGTCCACTGCATGTTCTCTTGAGCTGTGGACCACGTGACACAACCCTGACTCTAACACTTACTTGACCACGTGAAACAACCCTAACTCTAACACTTACTTGACCACGTGACACAACCCTAACTCTAACACTTACTTGACCACGTGAAACAACCCTAACTCTAACACTTACTTGACCACGTGAAACAACCCTAACTCTAACACTTACTTGACCACGTGACACAATTCTAACTCTAACACTTACTTGACCACGTGAAACAACCCTAACTCTAACACTTACTTGACCACGTGAAACAACCCTAACTCTAACACTTACTTGACCACGTGACACAATTCTAACTCTAACACTTACTTGACCACGTGACACAATTCTAACACTTACTTGACCACGTGAAACAACCCTATCTCTAACACTTACTTGACCACGTGAAACAACCCTATCTCTAACACTTACTTGACCACGTGAAACAACCCTAACTCTAACACTTACTTGACCACGTGAAACAACCCTAACTCTAACACTTACTTGACCACGTGAAACAACCCTAACTCTAACACTTACTTGACCACGTGACACAATTCTAACTCTAACACTTACTTGACCACGTGAAACAACCCTAACTCTAACACTTACTTGACCACGTGACACAATTCTAACACTTACTTGACCACGTGACACAATTCTAACTCTAACACTTACTTGACCACGTGAAACAACCCTATCTCTAACACTTACTTGACCACGTGACACAATTCTAACACTTACTTGACCACGTGAAACAACCCTATCTCTAACACTTGCTTGACCACGTGAAACAACCCTAACTCTAACACTTACTTGACCACGTGAAACAACCCTAACTCTAACACTTACTTGACCACGTGAAACAACCCTAACTCTAACACTTACTTGACCACGTGAAACAACCCTAACTCTAACACTTACTTGACCACGTGAAACAACCCTAACTCTAACACTTACTTGACCACGTGAAACAACCCTAACTCTAACACTTACTTGACCACGTGAAACAACCCTAACTCTAACACTTACTTGACCACGTGACACAATTCTAACTCTAACACTTACTTGACCACGTGAAACAACCCTATCTCTAACACTTACTTGACCACGTGACACAATTCTAACACTTACTTGACCACGTGAAACAACCCTAACTCTAACACTTACTTGACCACGTGAAACAACCCTAACTCTAACACTTACTTGACCACGTGAAACAACCCTAACTCTAACACTTACTTGACCACGTGAAACAACCCTAACTCTAACACTTACTTGACCACGTGAAACAACCCTAACTCTAACACTTACTTGACCACGTGAAACAACCCTAACTCTAACACTTACTTGACCACGTGAAACAACCCTAACTCTAACACTTACTTGACCACGTGAAACAACCCTAACTCTAACACTTACTTGACCACGTGACACAATTCTAACTCTAACACTTACTTGACCACGTGAAACAACCCTATCTCTAACACTTACTTGACCACGTGACACAATTCTAACACTTACTTGACCACGTGAAACAACCCTAACTCTAACACTTACTTGACCACGTGAAACAACCCTAACTCTAACACTTACTTGACCACGTGAAACAACCCTAACTCTAACACTTACTTGACCACGTGAAACAACCCTAACTCTAACACTTACTTGACCACGTGAAACAACCCTAACTCTAACACTTACTTGACCACGTGAAACAACCCTAACTCTAACACTTACTTGACCACGTGAAACAACCCTAACTCTAACACTTACTTGACCACGTGAAACAACCCTAACTCTAACACTTACTTGACCACGTGAAACAACCCTAACTCTAACACTTACTTGACCACGTGAAACAACCCTAACTCTAACACTTACTTGACCACGTGACACAATTCTAACTCTAACACTTACTTGACCACGTGAAACAACCCTATCTCTAACACTTACTTGACCACGTGACACAATTCTAACTCTAACACTTACTTGACCACGTGACACAATTCTAACACTTACTTGACCACGTGAAACAACCCTATCTCTAACACTTACTTGACCACGTGAAACAACCCTATCTCTAACACTTACTTGACCACGTGAAACAACCCTAACTCTAACACTTACTTGACCACGTGAAACAACCCTAACTCTAACACTTACTTGACCACGTGAAACAACCCTAACTCTAACACTTACTTGACCACGTGACACAATTCTAACTCTAACACTTACTTGACCACGTGAAACAACCCTAACTCTAACACTTACTTGACCACGTGACACAATTCTAACACTTACTTGACCACGTGACACAATTCTAACTCTAACACTTACTTGACCACGTGAAACAACCCTATCTCTAACACTTACTTGACCACGTGACACAATTCTAACACTTACTTGACCACGTGAAACAACCCTATCTCTAACACTTGCTTGACCACGTGAAACAACCCTAACTCTAACACTTACTTGACCACGTGAAACAACCCTAACTCTAACACTTACTTGACCACGTGAAACAACCCTAACTCTAACACTTACTTGACCACGTGAAACAACCCTAACTCTAACACTTACTTGACCACGTGAAACAACCCTAACTCTAACACTTACTTGACCACGTGAAACAACCCTAACTCTAACACTTACTTGACCACGTGAAACAACCCTAACTCTAACACTTACTTGACCACGTGACACAATTCTAACTCTAACACTTACTTGACCACGTGAAACAACCCTATCTCTAACACTTACTTGACCACGTGACACAATTCTAACACTTACTTGACCACGTGAAACAACCCTAACTCTAACACTTACTTGACCACGTGAAACAACCCTAACTCTAACACTTACTTGACCACGTGAAACAACCCTAACTCTAACACTTACTTGACCACGTGAAACAACCCTAACTCTAACACTTACTTGACCACGTGAAACAACCCTAACTCTAACACTTACTTGACCACGTGAAACAACCCTAACTCTAACACTTACTTGACCACGTGAAACAACCCTAACTCTAACACTTACTTGACCACGTGAAACAACCCTAACTCTAACACTTACTTGACCACGTGACACAATTCTAACTCTAACACTTACTTGACCACGTGAAACAACCCTATCTCTAACACTTACTTGACCACGTGACACAATTCTAACACTTACTTGACCACGTGAAACAACCCTAACTCTAACACTTACTTGACCACGTGAAACAACCCTAACTCTAACACTTACTTGACCACGTGAAACAACCCTAACTCTAACACTTACTTGACCACGTGAAACAACCCTAACTCTAACACTTACTTGACCACGTGAAACAACCCTAACTCTAACACTTACTTGACCACGTGAAACAACCCTAACTCTAACACTTACTTGACCACGTGAAACAACCCTAACTCTAACACTTACTTGACCACGTGAAACAACCCTAACTCTAACACTTACTTGACCACGTGAAACAACCCTAACTCTAACACTTACTTGACCACGTGAAACAACCCTAACTCTAACACTTACTTGACCACGTGACACAATTCTAACTCTAACACTTACTTGACCACGTGAAACAACCCTATCTCTAACACTTACTTGACCACGTGACACAATTCTAACACTTACTTGACCACGTGAAACAACCCTAACTCTAACACTTACTTGACCACGTGAAACAACCCTAACTCTAACACTTACTTGACCACGTGAAACAACCCTAACTCTAACACTTACTTGACCACGTGAAACAACCCTAACTCTAACACTTACTTGACCACGTGAAACAACCCTAACTCTAACACTTACTTGACCACGTGAAACAACCCTAACTCTAACACTTACTTGACCACGTGAAACAACCCTAACTCTAACACTTACTTGACCACGTGACACAATTCTAACTCTAACACTTACTTGACCACGTGAAACAACCCTATCTCTAACACTTACTTGACCACGTGACACAATTCTAACACTTACTTGACCACGTGAAACAACCCTAACTCTAACACTTACTTGACCACGTGAAACAACCCTAACTCTAACACTTACTTGACCACGTGAAACAACCCTAACTCTAACACTTACTTGACCACGTGAAACAACCCTAACTCTAACACTTACTTGACCACGTGAAACAACCCTAACTCTAACACTTACTTGACCACGTGACACAATTCTAACACTTACTTGACCACGTGAAACAACCCTAACTCTAACACTTACTTGACCACGTGAAACAACCCTAACTCTAACACTTACTTGACCACGTGAAACAACCCTAACTCTAACACTTACTTGACCACGTGAAACAACCCTAACTCTAACACTTACTTGACCACGTGACACAATTCTAACTCTAACACTTACTTGACCACGTGAAACAACCCTAACTCTAACACTTACTTGACCACGTGACACAATTCTAACTCTAACACTTACTTGACCACGTGAAACAACCCTATCTTTAACACTTACTTGACCACGTGACACAATTCTAACACTTACTTGACCACGTGAAACAACCCTAACTCTAACACTTACTTGACCACGTGAAACAACCCTATCTCTAACACTTACTTGACCACGTGAAACAACCCTAACTCTAACACTTACTTGACCACGTGACACAATTCTAACTCTAACACTCACTTGACCACGTGAAACAACCCTATCTCTAACACTTACTTGACCACGTGACACAATTCTAACACTTACTTGACCACGTGAAACAACCCTAACTCTAACACTTACTTGACCACGTGACACAATTCTAACTCTAACACTTACTTGACCACGTGAAACAACCCTAACTCTAACAGTTACTTGACCACGTGAAACAACCCTAACTCTAACACTTACTTGACCACGTGAAACAACCCTAACTCTAACACTTACTTGACCACGTGAAACAACCCTAACTCTAACAGTTACTTGACCACGTGAAACAACCCTATCTCTAACACTTACTTGACCACGTGAAACAATTCTAACTCTAACACTTACTTGACCACGTGAAACAACCCTATCTTTAACACTTACTTGACCACGTGAAACAACCCTAACTCTAACACTTACTTGACCACGTGAAACAACCCTAACTCTAACACTTACTTGACCACGTGACACAACCCTATCTCTAACACTTACTCTTTTATTTTCAAAGACTGACATTCGCCGACATCGTCTTTTGCCCTGGTCTAAGGGCTTCTGCCCAAAGCAGCCATCTTTGATCGGCCTACACCAGCAGCCAGTGATGGGTAAACAGAACAGCAAGTTGAAACCGGAAGTTCTGGAAGACTTGCGTCACCAGACCCAGTTCACGGAGGAGGAGCTCCAGGAGTGGTACAAGGGTTTCCTCAAAGACTGCCCCAGCGGACACCTCTCTGTGGACGAGTTTAAGAAAATCTACGGCAACTTCTTCCCGTACGGAGACGCCTCGCGGTTCGCCGAGCACGTGTTCCGCACCTTCGACACGAACGGGGACGGCTCTATTGACTTCCGTGAGTTCATCTGTGCCCTGAGCGTCACGTCTAGAGGAAAGCTGGAACAGAAGCTGCGCTGGGCCTTCAGCATGTACGACCTGGACGGGAACGGATACATCTCGCGCCAGGAGATGTTGGAGATTGTCACAGTAAGTCTGTCTTTTGCTACTTAAGTTAGTTCCACATACACCTATCCCAAAAGGAAATAAAGTTATTGTAACGAAAGTAAAATACCACATACCATTTTACAGAAATAGCTGAAAATATCATAGAAACCTGCGTATAAGAACATATCTGTAAAATGATTTGCACAGAATTGAAACATTACCTAAGTTATGGGTTTTTAGGAAAAACTAAGTATACACGTATTCCAGTTAACAGCAGTAGCGGATTAACGGGGAAAGGGTGGGGGGGGGGGGGGGAGAAGGCTGCAGCCGGAGGTCCCATTTTCTTCGGGACCCCCAAATTTACTGCTTAATTGTTGGTTTTCACTATAAAAACAAGTTCTAATGTTTGAATCGCAAGCTTCAATTTTTTTTTTAAAATATCCAACACGTGCACACACGAGTATGAATGTCACCTCCTACCCAGACATTGTTTATATAAAGCCGACGTTCTCTAAAATATTGTACATTTTATTTGGGTTGATCAACTCGTTTCAGGAAATAAAACTGAATCTTAACAAAACAGATTAGAAAAACATATTTTACTTCAACATGTGAGTGTATGAGTGATCCGTCTAATAGCTTACAAATGGCGCTTTATCCAAACCTAATAGAAAAAAAATGTGTAGACCTACTGATCCAGCTATTTGCACCGTTCGAAATCACGAGGTTTTTAAAAGGCAGGAAGTAACCCGTTTTAAATTTAGCTATTTTAAGTGAAAGGTGGGTTAGTATAGCTTTTATTTGCCGAATGAATAAGTGAAACCAAAACTAGATTGCTACAAACGACACGGCATGGTCCATCTCTAGAGCATTGAAGATTGTAAGGCCATGGCTCATTGACAGTGGCGGATAAAGGATTTGAATCGGAGACCCCCAATTTTGGGGTCCATAATTTTCTCTTATCAAAGACAGAACAGTAAAAATAATTTTCCTATTGATTTTATTTGTTGCGTACAATCTAAATGAATGTTGAATGTCCGAACCATAAGCTTTTCCCTCCTTAAATTTACAAATACGAAAGTATGCGATTTTTCCCCCCACATGAAAATATATGGTGCACCGTCAAAACCGCGCCGTTAATATGACCCCGTCAGATCGACCCCCGACAAAACAACCCAGTCAAAATAGCCCCGTCAAAAGGGCCTCGACTTATGGGCTCCCGTCATATTGCCTCGCGACAAATAAGCTCCCGACATAAGGGCTCCCGACAACTGGGCTCCCGACATATTGGCTCCAGACAAATGAATCGTATGACCACTATTGGCATAAAAGTAACCATTTTGTCTACCTCCACTACTCTTTTAAATGCCTGAATTAAATTGTTTTTCATGAACCAACATCTATTCACGAACAGATGTTAAATTTACAACAGTAAAGATCTGTTCCTTAAAAGCGAGCACAAAAGTGTAAATGTATGATATACATGATGTTTACAAGATAACTCTATTTTGTTTTGATAACCTAAAAGCATACTACAGGTAGGAATGTACAGCGTGGACCCATCTCCCCACACATTTGATTTGGAATAACCGACTCATTCATGGAAGTCATAGGTAGATTACCCTTAATTTAAAACAAAATATTTCTTATAATAGATAAACTATTATAAAAATAAGGCTTGACGAACAAGAGATGCATACGTTGTATTACTTAAGAGTGTTGGATAAGCTAATTCTAAAGAATATTGATGAAGGACCCCACTGGCAGGTGCCATATTCAATGAGACTGTTTTGGCGGGAGACTTAGTGTCTACGGAAACCGTATTGCCATCGATCCTTTTGTCGGGAGCCAAATTGACAGTAGCCTATTTGTCGGGAGCTAAAATGACGGGGGCCATTTCGTCGAAAAACTAAATAACGAGAGCCTATTTGTCGGGAACCTTATTGACTGGAGCCCTTTTGTCGGGAGGCTATATGACGGGTTCCATATGTCGCTGGCCCATTTGAAGGGGCTCTTATGTCGGGGCCGATTTGTCATTGGCCGTTTTGACGCCTCACGAAATATACGTTGTCCCTTAGTTGGACATAAACGCCCAAGCTCTACTGTGCAAACTGTTGGCTAGCTGTCATCGCTTCATGTCAAACAATGTTTATTTAACGTGAGCTGTCCCTAAAATAAGGAATGTGTTTTTAATTGATCTTACGACCAGTAAGTCTATCACATGAGGATAGCTTACTTTGTTAGACCTGCATTATGACTGTAAAGTGACAGATTTTCTATTATTATAATCATGTGCCATTGTATCCAGACAAGCAGCACTATAACCTCTGTCAACAGTTAGAAAAGGTATGGAGAGATGTTTTCGAATTTTATTATCTGAATCAAATTTTGGTATAATTACGAGTTTCAAAAGATAAGTTATAATCAAGCACGATTTTAAAGCACTGTAATTGTAATATCAGGGATGTCAACTTTTTATCCTCGATTTTTACTATTCGAGTAATCCAAGTTGTAATGGAAGATTATTCTCCTGTATGTTTCGCCATTTAAACATAGATCTAATATTTTTATTTTGATTAAGCAATTTTAAACACCCCTACATAAACACGATTGTGTCCATAAACAACTAGATCCCAGTGTCTGAAGAAAAATTTTTATTAAACAACACGATATGTTGCTAGTATTTAAATATAAATTCATGATTGTTTCACGTAGGGTGATATTTTTTTTTTTTTACATTCTGTCGAGGACAAAAGGGTTTTTCTAAAAGTTTCGTCTGTTTTAATTATATGTGTCATACGTCGCTTCCTGGTTTATGTTGACTCGTTTTATCTTTCACATGTTTATAACCAAGCTTCAGTCGCATAGATAATTCCAAGAGACCCACTTAATGCAAAGGCTAACAAAATCCCATCAGTTCTTCCTATCTAGAAATACTTACATATTTTCACTAGCATTATTTATTTAACACACAAGTGTGTATGTATTTATTTATGTATTTATATATATATATGTATATATATATATATATGTATATATATGTATATATATGTATATGTATATATATATATATATAACATATATATATAATATATATGTATATTATATATAAATATGTATAGGCTTATAGTATATAGTAATTTATAACATATATATATATATGTATATAGTATGTAGTAATATAGTGTATATGGTATAGTGTAACAAAGTATATATGTGTGTGTGTGTACATTTGCGCCCCCAAAACCATTGAGCCGGGGGGGGGGGCAGAGGCGTAACTAAGGGGCTCCCGGTCAAAAACCCCCTGGACATAAACCCCCTGGACATAAACCCCCCGACATAAACCCCCTGGACAAAAACCCCCTGCGACATAAACCCCCTGGACAAAAACCCCCCGCGATATAAACCCCCTGGACAAAAACCCCCCGCGACATAAACCCCCTGGACAAAAACCCCCCAATTGAGGTTTATATAAGGAAAAACCAAAGATGACGAGAAACAAAATTAATATAAAAATACAAAACAAACATTAGGAAAAAACTTTTATTTTTATTATAACTTTAAAAAGACAGATTGTGAGCGATGCCTCGCAAATACTCAATAATGGTGGACTCATTAAAATTTTTAACAACAGTTAAAATTCGAGAGCTGCTATCAATATATTTTTTTTCTGTTTTGGTAAACAGAGACCTGAATTAATATGTGTACAATAAACCTCTTGGAGAGATTGTTCCTTTTTAATAAAGTCAATAAATTTCCAAATATTTGGGTGGCAACATCCCATATGCGACTGAAAACTTCTGAGTTGTTTGTTTTTGGCATATGGTCTTCTGCACGTGTGTGCATGTTCCAAATGTCAAGTGGAAACATAGGTTGTCTTCGACCTCGACGTTGTGGTCTGCCAATATAGCCTTCAAAAATCACCTATAATTTTCCTTTATTGGATTGAACGAACTCCATTCCAGAAAATATACGATTTGTCGAGAAATAAATTTTATATTTATACCATGGTTCTGTATGCCAAGGTGGATATGAACCAAGCTTCCGCCGGTGAATCCCTCACATCTTTTGAATTGTTAAGAATGTGTTGCTTTGATCCGCACGGCTCCCACATGTGGATGACCTATATCTAAGGTGTTGTCGGTGCCCGATCTTTAATCAAATACAACTAAGTTCACTCCTTGATTTCGAAAAGCATTTTTTTAGGTAGAAACTATTTTCTTAGTCGTAAAAAATTAAATTAATTTAATGTAATTTTTTTTTAATTTCTTGGTTCACATCATCGTTATTTTTTCTTTATATAAACCTCAGTCCGGGGGTTATTATCCGGGGGGTTTATATCGCGGGGGGTATTTGTCCAGGGGGTTTATGTCGCGGGGGGTTTTTGTCCAGGGGGTTTATGTCGCGGGGGGTTTTTGTCCAGGGGGTTTATGTCGGGGGGTTTATGTCCAGGGGGTTTTTGTCCAGGGGGTTTTTGACCGGGGAGGGCGGCCGTCCCGGGCGCCCATCCTAGGGGGTGCCAAAAGGGGTAGGAAAAAATTTATTGCTGGTTTTAAGCTGCAGCTTTATATTATAACAGTCAAAGTTAAGACAGTTAACGTCTACAAGCTTTTACATACTGATTTAACTGTTCTACCTTGAATTTTGAACTGTAAAACATACCTTTAAGAAACAGTGACCGGAAATACCGCTTTCCTACATGGTGGGGGGGGGGGGGGCGCATTTTCTTAGAATAAAATAAAAAAAAATTACACCGATTAGGAAGTAGGTAACCGTTATCACTTAGAAAAGAAACCAAGTATATTAAAGCGTATTTTGCATATGTATATATATGCACATATGTATATATATATATATATGTATATATATGTATGTATATATATGTATGTATATATATGTATATATATATGTATATATGTATATATATATGTATGTATGTATATATATGTATGTATATATATGTATATATATATATATGTATATATATATGTATATATATATGTATATATATGTATATATATATATATATATGTATATATATA